TGAATGAGTATATGTACACAACTTACGTAGATTTTCGTTTTTCATCTGCTTTATGAAGATAGTATAAAGTTCTTTCATGTTTCTTCTCAATAGGTTCAACTCCATATTTGGCCAGTAACCTTGTCAGTGGCAACTGGAAAAATGAATATATATCTTTACCTTTAACCTGTTCAACTGAAATGAACTTACCCTGCTTTGAACTTTTCATTTATACTTGAAGGGATTTTAATATAAAAATACTACAGTCCATAGCAGGAATATACCACTTACTTCATTTACCTGTAACAGTGGCATATTTACATTTATTTTAATATAAATTTTTTATTTTGGTTTATAAAAAAAACATACTATATATTATTCTAGATCTGCACATGCCAGTATAAACTAAAAATGTGTCCATAGGACACGGATGCCCCCACACACCACTGTTCTGTCAATCTTATGACTCTAGGTCAAATATTTTTGGACTACATGTGCCACAAGTTGAAAACTAAAAATCAACAAAGGGCCATAATTCTGTTAAATTTGGTCGCAGCAAAAATTTCTTCCTTTACTACCATCTACACATTAAGGTTGTTAATCCCTGGAAGTTTAAGCAAAATCTGCCATCCGGTTTAAGAGGAGTTGCGTTCACAAAATTTCTACATAGTATATTATGAAAAAATCAACAAAGGGCCATAATTCTGTTAAATTTGGTCGCAGCAAAAATTGTTTTCAGAAACTCCCAAGAGTTACCTTCCCTTTTTACTCGATGTCACTTCCTGCTACTTTCGTTTTCAACTTACAGCAGTGTTGACAATAGTACTTTTAGTTTTCCATCCAATTCAGCAGAAATCTATTGTATTTTCGTAAAGCCAAAACATTGCTATCTGGAGCTCTGCATATTTCCAACATTTTCTTAATTTGGATATGAAAAAAGCCTTCGACCAGACGGGCTACCAGCTTGGAATTTTCACTCGACCACCCGCAAATTTACTCGACTAGGTCGTCGGTCGAGTGGGTTAAGTCGAAGACTGAATGTATGTGGTTAATTCACCAATGACCTTTATTTGCATTGGCCAAACTTGGCATTTAAATGACTATTTTAGGCCTTGACCTCCAAGTGTGACCTTGACCTTTGAGGTAAGGGTTTAGGTGTTGCACATCACATGTCATCTTATAATTGTTATCAATTGTGCACAATTATTCTAAAATCCCTTGATTGATGAACCGCACACAAAATATACCCAAGAACAGACAATGTTGAGCTTTGGCACTCAAGTGTGACCTTGACATTGAAGGTAGAAGTCTGGATGTTGCTAATGACACATAGTCCCATTACTGTGAACATTTTTGCCAAGTTATTTCAAATCCATTGAACAATAAAATAATTATAGACTGCACACAAAATATACCATTTAAAAGACCATGTTAAGGTTTACAACTGTAACCTTTACCTTGGAGGTAGACTACTGGTTTCGCTCATGACACCTTGTCTTATTATTGCGAACATTTGTGCAACACAATTTCAAAATCCCTTGATATTTGAAGAAGTTATGGACCTGACACAAAATATACCTTGTAACAGACTTTGTTAATCTATGACCTCTGGCTGTGACCTTGACTTACTCTATGGTAATAATCAACTTACTCTGTGGTAATAATCAACTTACTCTGTGGTACTATTCAACTAACTCTATGGTACTAATTTACTTACTCTGTGGTTATAATTTACTTACTCTGTGGTACTAATCAACTTACTCTAAGGTACTTAATTAACTTACTCTGTGGAACTAATTAACTTACTCTGTGGTACTAATCAACTTACTCTGTGATACTAATCAACTTACTCTGTGGTAATAATTTACTTACTCTGTGGTACTAATCAACTTACTCTGTGGTACTTAATTTATTTACTCTGTGGTACTAATTAACTTACTCTGTGGTACTAATTTACTTACTCTGTGGTACTAATTAACTTACTCTGTGCTACTTATTAATTTACTCTGTGGTACTAATTAATTTACTCTGTGGTACTAATTAATTTATTCTGTGCTACTAATTAATTTACTCTGTGGTACTAATCAACTTACTCTGTGCTACTAATTAATTTACTCTTTTGTACTAATTAACTTACTCTGTGCTACTAATTAATTTACACTGTGGTACTAATTAACTTACTCTGTGGTAATAATTAACTTACTCTGTGGTACTAATTAACTTACTCTGTGGTACTAATTAACTTACTCTGTGGTACTAATTAACTTACTCTGTGGTACTAATTAACTTACTCTGTGGTACTAATTAACTTACTCTGTGGTACTAATTAACTTACTCTGTGGTACTAATTAACTTACTCTGTGGTACTAATCAACTTACTCTGTGGTACTAATTAACTTACTCTGTGGTACTAATTAACTTACTCTGTGGTACTAATTAACTTACTCTGTGGTAATAATTAACTTACTCTGTGGTACTAATTAACTTACTCTGTGGTACTAATTAACTTACTCTGTGGTACTAATTAACTTACTCTGTGGTACTAATTTACTTACTCTGTGGTACTAATTAACTTACTCTGTGGTACTAATTAACTTACTCTGTGGTACTAATTAACTTACTCTGTGGTACTAATCAACTTACTCTGTGGTACTAATCAACTTACTCTGTGGTACTAATTAACTTACTCTGTGGTACTAATCAACTTACTCTGTGGTACTAATTAACTTACTCTGTGGTACTAATCAACTTACTCTGTGGTACTAATTAACTTACTCTGTGGTACTAATTAACTTTCTCTGTGGTACTAATTAACTTACTCTGTGGTACTAATTAACTTACTCTGTGGTACTAATTAATTTACTCTGTGGTACTAATTAACTTACTCTGTGGTACTAATTAATTTACTCTGTGGCACCAATTAACTTACTCTGTGGTACTAATTCACTTACTCTGTGGTGCTAATTAACTTACTCTGTGGTGCTAATTAACTTACTCTGTGGTAATAATTAACATACTCTGTGGTACTAATTTACTTATTCTGGGGTACTAATTACGGTAACTGACTCTGTGGTACTAATCAACTTACTCTGTGGTACTAATTAACTTACTCTGTGGTACTAATTAACTTACTCTGTGGTACTAATTAACTAACTCTGTGCTACTAATTAACATACTCTGTGGTACTAATTAACTTACTCTGTGGTACTAATTTACTTACTCTGTGGTACTAATGAACTTACTCTGTGGTACTCGTGTGGTTCTGGAACATAACCCTCAGGTGTGTCTACCAACTGAGCAGGACCTGAAATTAAATACTTCACATGTATCTGATTCTGTTAAGAATTTTTGAAAAAAGAAAGGAAGAAAAATTTCCAAGACAAAACTAGAAATGTGTCCATAGGACACGGATGCCCCCACATGCCACTGTTCTGTCAATCTCATGACTCTAGGTCAAATATTTTTGGACTACATGTGCCACAAGTTGAAAACTAAAAATCAACAAAGGGCCATAATTCTGTTAAATTTGGTCACAGCAAAAATTCCTTCCTTTACTACCATCTACACATTAAGGTTGTTTATCCCTGTAAGTTTAAGCAAAATCTGCCATCCGGTTTAAGAGGAGTTGCGTTCACAAAATTTCAACATAGTATCTAGTAAAAAAATCAACAAAGGGCCATAATTCTGTTAAATTTGGTCGCAGCGAAAATTCCTTCCTTTACTACCATCTACACATTAAGGTTGTTCATCCCTGTAAGTTTAAGCAAAATCTGCCATCCGGTTTAAGAGGAGTTGTGTTCACAAGATTTCGGGACGGACGGATGGACTGACGAATTGACGGACGGACGGACAAGTGCAACGCTATATGCTCCAACATTGTGGGGGCATAAAAATATGATTTCCAAGTTTTGTGCATTTGGTATTTTAAAATAATTACAGCTAGCATAGTGCATATTTTTAATATGAAGTGTTAACATGGCAATCTCAGTTATGTTTTGACATTTACTGTTTAAGTTGATATATTTGTGTCACAAAAATTTTGCCAGTGTCAAAAAGTGGACTTTTTGCATCTATAAATATTTGCGAAAATATGATTTCTTGAATTTTATGATACCTTAAATAAGCAGGTACTTGTTAAAAAATATGTTGTTATTGAATCATTCTATTCAGTAATTCAACACCATTATTATTTATGTAAGTGTTTGAAATATACATTGTTAGCTGGATAAAGGACCTGATCACTCATTTCTTGTCATATTTTGAAACATTCATTGGTTTCATTTTATGCCTTTTCTCCCAACAGTATTTTAGTCATATAGGCAGGTAGTTTCCTAACCATCGTTCCTGGACAGTTACACCAGTACTAGACTACCTTCCTCCGCACTAAACTACCGAAGCATCTCCCGGGGATCAAACCCACATCAGAGAGGTAACTAGATTAGAAGTCATCAACTCTACCCCCCCCCCACAGAGGCCGGTTCATTTACTTAGTTATTTTTCTATTTTTATACAAAGGAGAGTAACCACAGTAATAGTGTCAGAGGGACTAAAAACCCCACACAATAAACTCACAGGGATTTTTTCCAGGATTTTGGGAACACGACCCATACTCATGGAATTGGGAATTTCAACATGGTTTTTTGTGTGTTAAAATTGGGAAAAAATGTATGACTGAAATTTTACAGTGATAAACTGGATGCAACAATTACTGTCTACAAGTAGGATGGCATTTTCAAACATTTAAGCACTGCAATTACAGTGAAGAAGCCCTTATTTTTTCAAAGATTTTAGAACTTTTATTCAATAATTTTATATTGTAACTTTCAATTGAGAATTTTTTCCTGTGGATTGGGAAAATAATATAGGTACTATTTTCAAATGGGAATATGACCCAATAACGGCTATAAAATAAGCAAAACAAAATCTCTGTCTTACTATGAATAATGATTGATTTCAACTTACCTTGTGTAACATTAAGATATGTGATAAACAAGCCAGCTGGAATTATTCCTAGCCCTAGGAAATAATACTGAAATAAAACATAAATATCAATTTTAGTATCAAAATGTGGCTGAATGACAAATAGGGTAAACATTGTGCTTTGTATTTACCCACCTGAAGGAAAATGATATGACAAAAAGAGGTAAAAGTACATTTTCGTCCTGGGTGTCCTTGACCAGTGAGTTATAATAAAACCAAATTAATAGCTTTTGACTAATCTATTCTACATCAAATCTCAACTAAGTAGCTGTCACAGCAGTGACAAATATTCAAAATATCTCTATAGATGACAAATTATTTTACATAGTGCAAAGTAATAATTATTTTTGTTTGAAAAAAATGAGCTAAATGGTTTTTACTGGCCTTCAAAAAGTACATGTATATTATTTAATGTGCAGACATTGACTTTGTCGAAATTTTGACCTTCAAAGGTGAAGGGTGAATCGAGTCTACACAGTGGCGGAATAGGTTCTTTTATCCCTTGTTTGGGAACTACACAGAGCACATTTTGAACTTCAAGTGCAGGGCTGCAGATAACATGCGTATTTGCGGTAATTACCCAATTAAAATGTCAAAAAACGCAATAGAAATAATAACTTAGGGTAATCAAAAGTAAATAAATTCTTGATTGATGCAAACTACATTGGAACAGGTGCGTTAAGACGTAAGTTATACTTAACGCCATATATCAGGCAGATAATACTGTTTCAGAATGTTTTAACCTTTAAAATATATCAGGCAGCTTGGAAATCTCCTAGGCCAATAAACCATAAAGCATAGTAGTAAGTAGCTTTTTTATTACCATACAAAACCTACAACAGTCTAAAATGAAGGTCAGAAATTGTGGGTAAAATACATGAAATCGTGCTTTAAAACCTTAATTAGTTAGAGATGGTAGGGTAAAAAATACAGAAATAACTCTAAGAAATAGAGAAAAACCAATAGATCACAAAACAAGGGGTAATCATCCAATATACAGAGTTCCAGATAATGTGCGTATCGCGTATTTTACGCTTTAAAAGCAGCTTAATACGCACCATATTTCAAATTTGTTGCGTTCATTTACGCACGATATAAATTAAATACACAAAGAATGAAAAATCGAAGCGTATTTGGTGTGTACTTTCATTTTCGAAACAGCTGATTCCATTTCCGTTTAACAGTTGACTGTGTATCTTTTTCCGTTTATTACCCGCCAAAATACTTCCTACTACTTTTCATTCTGTAAACCAGTCAAATTATGTCTTTATCACGTAGGCGCTTGGTAAAACGTGTGGCTTGATTTCCTTTATAATTGCAAGCGTTTGTTAATTAAGACGTACATCATGGCTGCTTCCAAACCAAAGCAGAGGAAAATTGACAATTTTTTTAACGCAACTCAGTTACCCGCTAAAACAATTGTGAATCCTATTGTTGAAGACATTTTAGATCGTGTATTTAAAACGAAAAGGGCGCACATAATAATGTGAATCGCAACACAACACTTGAAAATTGGCAAAAATGTTATCCATGGCTTCAAATTTCAGAAACTGGTACTGAAGTACGAATGAAATATCTGACTTGTGATAAATTTAAAGCTGGCAATGTATGGGCTAATGAAGGTGCAATAAACATGCAGAAATCGGCAATTGACTGGTGATTATTTGTAACGTTACTGTTTATGTATTGTCACCAATTTTTGTTGTAAACAATATAAAATAAAATAAGAAAATGGTAAAGACCTTTCAGTTGAAGTGAATTCACGCTGAATATCTGCTAAATTAATACAAAATAAACATCTTTAATGTATTTTCATTAAAAATATTCTATTTTCAAAGGATCATATTATTTTTGTACAAAAAAGTAAGTCATTTAATTGTACCCTTTAGATTTACGATATATCTAAATTTACCCCCACATTCTGAAAAGTGGGGGTAATTACCCCCAGTGTAAAAAAATTATCTGGAACTCTGATATATAAAACAAGAGGGCCATGATGGCCCTGGATGGCCCTGAGGTCGCTCACCTGTATATAGGCCCCCTCCAACCCCCCCCCCCCCAACGTTGCAGGGCCAATTTAACCCAAGGGCTTTTATTTGCACAAACTTGGTAGACACCCATAAGAAGATGTTTCATGCTAAACATCTAAGCTTTAGCTCATTGGGCTTTTTAAAAGAAGATTTTTTTAAAGTTTTTACTATACACATATAGTTAAAAACAATGACACCCCTGGGGCCGGGCCAGTTTTGACCCCAGGGCTTTTATTTGAACAAACTTTGTAGACACTTACTAGAAGATGTTTCATGCTTAATATCTTAACTCTAGCTATTTGGGTTTTTTCAAAGAAGATTTTTTAAGTTTTTGCTATACACATATAAGGAAAATCAATGACCCCCAGGGCGGTGCCAATTTTGTCCCCAGGGCTTTTATTTGAACAAACTTGATAGACACTTATTAGAACATGTTTGATGCTAAATATCTTAGCCATAGCTCTTTGACTTCTTTAAAAGTAGATTTTTTAAGTTTTTACTATATGCATATAGGGAAAATCAATGACCCCCCCCCCCGGGGCCAATTTTGACCCCAGGGCTTTTATTTGAACAAACTTGGTAGACACTTATAAGAACATGTTACATGCTAAATATCTTAGCTCTAACTCTTTTGGTTCTTTAAAAGAAGATTTTTAAAGTTTTTACTATATGCATATAGGGAAAATCAATGACCCCCTGGGGCAGGGCCAATTTTGACCCCAGGGCTTTTATTTGAACAAACTTGGTAGACACCAATTAGAACATGTTTGATGCTCAATATCTTAGCCATAGCTCTTTGAGTTCTTTAAAAGAAGATTTTTTTAAGTTTTCACTATATGCATAAAGGGGAAAATCAATGACCCCCCGGGGCGGGGCCAATTTTGACCCCAGGGCTTTTATTTGAACAAACTTGATAGACACCTATTAGAACATGCTTCATGCTAAATATCTTAGCTCTAGCTCTTTGGGTTCTTTAAAAGAAGATATTTTAAGTTTTTACTATATGCATATAGGGAAAATCAATGACCCCCTGGGGCGGGGCCAATTTTGACCCCAGGGCTTTTATTTGAACAAACTTGGTAGACACTCACTAGAAGATGTTTCATGCCAAATATCTAAGCTCTAGCTCTTATGGTTTTTTAAAAGAAGATATTTAAAGTTTTTTCTTTCGGTTGCCATGGCAACCAGAGTTCTGCATGGAATTAAATTCTTTGAACAAATTTTTAAGGTGACCACCAAAGGAACATTCCTGTGAAGTTTGGATGAAATTGGCTTAGTGGTTTATGAGGAGATGTCATTTAAAGTAAAAGTTTACGGACGGACGGACGCCGGACGAAAAGCGATCACAAAAGCTCACCCTGTCACTTTGTGACAGGTGAGCTAAAAAGTTATCTGTAGCCCTGTCAAGTGGTAGAATTATGATTTGTAGAAAGGACACAAAATTGTCAGACATTTGACCTTCAGGATTAGCTTGACCCTGCACAGTAGAGATATGGGTTCTGGACATTGCCTTGTTAAGATTAATATTCGTATAAATTTTGAACCAAAAGGGGAGTGTACGATTTATAAAGTAGGCACATTAGATATCGTAGGACTACCACAACAAAGTGATATTATTATTAGTATAGCCCCCTCCACATGTGGAAGGGGTGTTTAAAACCCTGTGTCTAATTTTCAACCCAGGGATCATGGGTTCAAGCCCTAATCGGGTCACGATCATATTTCTTCATATGACATTTGTACTCGTTGGTTCCAGGAAGTGGACTCAAAAGTGATTAAATTAAGTTGCAAGAATTGTTTCGCAATCGAGCTTAAAAAAATATGAGCCGCGTCACGACAAAACCAACAGTGCGTTTGCGACCAGCATAGATCCAGACCAGCCTACCCATCCGCACAGTCTGATCAGAATCCAAGCTGTTCGCTGTCAGCTTCTCCACTTGTTATAGAGTTGGTAAGCGAACAGCATGGATCCTGATCTGACTGAGCGGATACGCAGGCTGGTCTGGATCTATGCTGGTCGCAAACGCACTATGTTGGTTTTGTCGTGACAGGGCTCATATGTTTAAACCAAACCCTTAAATTGATCCATTTGACCTAAAATCCTACCAAATAGTTTAAGGCCTTCACTGGTACAAAAACATATTAAATATTTTGCTGATCATATCTGGCCCACAGCATGAGCTTTTAATTCAAGGACAATAACTCTAAAATACTAAAAATATCCACACAACTAGAACTCCGCGAGTCGGATGTGTCGCCTTGTGAACAATGTAGTTTAGGAGAAATGGCCAGGACAAAAATGAAATATGAAAAACAACAAAGGGCAATAACTAAAAAAATAATAAGTGCAGAGCAGCATATCTGTGCACTGAATTTTTATCAATAAGATCTATCATTCTATGATGTTTCAAGTCCATAGCTTTCATACTTGAGGAGAAATGACCAGGACAAAATTAAAGTAAGAAAATCAACAAAGGGCAATAACTCAAAAATTAAGAAATGCAGAGTACCGATTCTTGTGCACTGCACTTCTTCTTAATGATATCTATCATCCTATGAAGTTTCAAGTCCATAACTTTTATACTTTCAGTTTCGGAGAAATGGCCTGGACAAAAATTAAGTATGAAAATCAACAAAATGCCATAACTCAAAAGTTAAGAAATGCAGAGTACCTGTTCTTGTGCACTGCACTTCTTCTTAATGAGACCTATCATCCTATGAAGTTTCAAGTCCATGGCTTTTATACATTAGGAGAAATGGCCCGGGCAAAAATAAAGTATGAAAATTAACAAAGGGCAATAACTCAAAAATTAGGAAGTGCATAGTACCGGTTCTTATGCACTGCACTTCTTCTTAATGAGATCTATCATCCTATGAAGTTTCATGTCAATAGCTTTTTTAGTTGAAGAGATATGGCCCGGACAAAATTAAAGTATGAAAATTAACAAAGGGCAATAACTCAAAAAATAAGAACTGCAGAGTACCGGTCCTTGTGCACTGCACTTCGAGTTATTGAAAGAAGCATGCATATCAAGTTTGAAGTCAATCAGATTTATAGTGACTGAGTTATGCTCCGGACAAGCTTTAAGGGACGCCGACAACGACGCCGACGCCGACACAGACGCCGCCGACGAAAGTAACCCTTATATGTCACCTTTTCAAGGCGACACAAAAATACCCAGGTGCACAACTACACATGCTAACAGAGCAACATTCTTGTTAGGTTTCATGACTCTAGGTCAAATACTTTTTTAGTTAAGTGCGACACTAGTTGAAAATTGGAAATTTTTACTAAGTCAAGGGCAATAACTCTACAAATACTAAAAATATCCACATGCAAATACCCAGGTGCACAACTACACATGCTAAGCAACATTCTTGTAGGGTTTCATGACTCTAGGTCAAATATTTTAGTAACATGCGACACTAGTTGAAAATTGAAAATTTTTACTAAGTCAAGGGCAATAACTCTAAATATACTATATATATCCACATGGAAATACCCAGGTGCACAACTTCACATGCTGATCAACATTTCTGTAAGGTTTCATGACTCTATGTCAATTACTTTTTGAGCTACGTGCGACACAAAAAGGAAACGGACGGACGGAAAGAGGGACGGAAGGATGGATGGACGGACGAACGGACAAGGGTAAATGTAAATGCCCCCACCCCCTATAGTGGGGGCACAATAAACCAGGGCTACAATATAAAGATATCAAAAATATTACTTAAAATCTTTTTTAAAATTAGATGGTAAATGCACCAATACCTTAAAACGTAATGATCAAGGCTGAAGTTTGCATACAGGAATGCCATGCACCATGACTGTTACAATACCCCTATTTTTTTTATTTTTTTTCATTTAAAAAAAAGTTAATGATGGAATTAATAAGAAATACAAGTTTATATAGTATAAGAGATGTTCACTCACTGATGAATGAATAAAGAGATCAATTTTCTGTCGCTGCAATCTTCTGTAAGGCTTCTCTAAGAAACGGTGTTGGATGCTTCACAAACACTCAAAATACAATAGATGGATAATCCTCTTCCTTTAAATAAATAGTCACAAAATATTATATTTAAAAGTTACATTTTTCTATATATATCACTCTAATAACATTAATCACTCTAGTTGCATTATTTTTCTATTTATCACTACATTTTTCTAAATATACATGTACATATCACTCTAATGACTTTTTTTCTTTTTATCACTCTGGTTGCATTTATTCTATATTATTATCACTTTAATTACATTTTTCTTTTTATCACTATGGTTACATTTTTTCTATATGTCACTTTAAATACATTTTTTTTCTTTTGATATTTCTATTTATAGCTATAGCAGCCCCTAAAATGGGCCAATCAAATTTAAGTATGAGCACACTTGATAAAAGACTACTTAAGAATGCCACAGACAAAGTTTGGTGATCATCCATCAATTAGTTCTGTACAAAAAGATGTCTAAAGATTTTTTTCTTTTATAGCCCTAGAGACCCCTAAAAGGGGCCAATCAAATTAATATGAGCAAACTTGATAAAAGCCTACCCAAAAATGCTACAGACAAAGTTTGGTGATCATTCATCTTTTTGTTCTGTAGAAAAAGATGTCTAAAGGTAATATTTGTGTATATATGTTGTGTATATGTTGTGTACATGTAAACTGATTGTAATAATGTTATGCTGAGGCCCACATGGAAGATCGGGAAACTGAATTTGTAAGCCTCGTTAAATAAAGTCGTTACTTACTTACTTACTTACTTACTTATCTTTAGCCCTAGCGACCCCTCAAAGGGGCCAATCAAATAAATATGTGCAAACTTGATAAAATCCTACCCAAGAATGCTACAGCCAAAGTTTGGTGATCATCCATCTTTTAGTTCTATAGTAGAAGATGTTT